GCATTTTGCGTCGGACTCATAAATGTCGGTTCACTTTTCAAACTGTTGCCATAAAATGTTAGAGTCCTGCATTATATTTGAAGAAATTAAATAATGAAAATCTGCGTAAATGTATGTATATTTCTCGCATTGTCATAAAATAACGGTACATAGAGTCATCGAATTTTGAATAACGTAATCCTCCAACGAATATGAGCATGTGGAAGACCAAATTTGAAATTTGAAATTTGTTTTATGATCGATTTCCTATTTTTAAAACTTTGACGAATTTTTGATTAACAAACTCAAGGATTTCAAAGCGAGCAATGGCAACGTTGTGCAGAAAAAACATTTTTATCTCCAGCGCGTGAGTCTCTGTATCGGAAATTCTAAAGATATGCTCGTTTTAAAACTATTTTGCGATATTGCTGTTGCACTGGATCTTATGGTTTAAGTGCGAGGAACATGATATTTAATAAAGAAAGGTAACATACAAAATGTTAAAAAACGCCCCTTTGGACGTAATTTAAAATCTGAAACATTTCAGATTTTTTTTTTTTTTTTTTTTTTTTTTGTGTGTGTGGGTTTGAATGCGAATATTATTTTCATCTTTTTTGTATTTGCGCAAAACTAAATTTTCTTCCACTGTTTAATATGTTTGTTTCCTGATTATAACAATACTTGAACAATTAAAAAGGTTCCTGTTAATACAAGGAAATGTTACTTCTGTAAAAATGGAACTACAGAAAAAGTTGCTACATTATTGATTAATTTCACTAAATTAGCATTAAAGTTTCAAATGCTTTTCATTAAGCTGTAATTTTACCTGATTCATACTGACTGCTTTACTTATCTTTTCCCTTTTTCATAGCTTACTTAAATTAAGTTATTATATTTCTTCTAACAATATGCCTTTATTACTCACAGTGTTTATACTACAGTTAAATGTTGCACAAGATTTTAACTTTAAGCCTAAGAGATTAACGACAAGTTAAGACAATAGAACATAATTACTGCATGCAAAAGTAATACTGTTATACGTCCAGCATTAGATCTTATGCTTCCTTTTCAAATTATATTTATACAATATATGGTAAAAATTCAATTATCCCGAAAGCTCAGGAAATGATGAAAGAGTATCTGAAAATTCCCAATAGTTGAGAACATATTCATAACATTTATCAAATATGAGCATGCAAGTCTCAGTTGAAATGTTCAGCAACTGATGTTTCCCTATAAAAACAGTGAGTGTCCTGCTGCAAGGATGGATTCTTGGAACAATACCATGGTGTGCATTGAGCAACATCTTCAAAACAGAGCCATGTAACCATATTATATTTTAGATGTTATCAGTGTGGTACTAAGCAATAGTTCTATACATGCTTTATAATGCCTTTATAAATCTCTAATTTGAAAAACTTTTTCATTAAAAAAAGTTCTTAAATATTTTTGTTACCTAAGTTTTCCAGAGAGTTTAAATCATACTAGATGGTTACAATAAATGAAGAAATATCATTTACTCCATCATATGCACGTGAAAAATAATTTATACATGGAACAAAATTTTACAACTCAATATTACTGCTTGCTTCATTTGTATTTATGTACCAAGTGATGGAAGTAAGAGAATAAAAATTCAATAATTCCTCAGAACTTATCCTTAAAAAATCCAACAACATAAGCAACTGACACCAAACAATTTCAAAAGAGATCATGAATTTACATATTGGGCCTCTCAACAGTCAGGAAACAATATTAATTGGTTGTTAAATACCTTATGGTCTGATGAAGTGCTATTTTTCCTTAATGGAAGTGTAAATGCATTGCTACATCTGGATGAGAAATATCCCATATGCAGTCATGAAAAGCTTTTACGTTAGCCAAAGGTAATGTCATGAATTGCGCTCAGTTAAAGTGTACAACTGCTGCATCTGGATGTGATATAACCCACACGTAATTGCGAAAAGCCTTTTACCTTAGCCAAAGGTGAGTTCATGATGTAAATTGAGTTACATTACATGCTAATTTTTCTTAGAAGTCCACAGCAGTACATTTCAAAATGTGTTTATTAAAGTTGAGTTATTATGGAGTACTTTAAACAGACAGCAGCATTCCCTCCTTAGAAGAGTGATAAATGGTCCATAATACAACATTCATACAGGATGGGGCACCTCTGCACAGATTTTGCTCGGCACCTATTATGATCTACATTTGATGATGATTGTGTTCTCAGACACAAAAATGGCTGCCAAGATCTTCAGATTTGGCAATTTCTTCTCAGTGACGAGGCTATTCAACATCACAGGTGCTCAAAGGTCAATCAACGTTATTAGTCACGGTGAAAGAAGTTATTCACCATCATATGACAGGAATTACAGTCGACACCTCTCTGATGATGTGCAAAATTTCATGCCATATCTGATGGCAACCACACTGAGCATTTGTAATACTAACTGCATTGCAAACTGTGCACCTGCATGAACTTCTGACACAACTGAAATACCTCTAGATCTATAAAAACTGCATCATGCTGTTACTGAATTTTTACTTTTTCTGGTACTTTTGAATCACCTGATATATATACATACAAAAAATATTATAAAGTAATTCAAAGAGTTATAAATAGAAAAGTTAAACAATGCACTAATATTAAGAATGAAGTACTATTAATTATAGTTTTAAAATTTATTTCATTTGTCACATTAAAATGACAGCCTATTCAAAATAGTGTTTCAAAAGGTTCTTTGATATACCATACATACCATTTACATTCAACAGATACAACCTATCTCTAAAAGGGTGACTTTCAGCAGTATAAAGAAGCACGCACAGATTTAAACCATGATTAACACGCTTTACTTCAATCTAGTACGTTTAGAGACTCCATTGTTCATTCAAAATATGTGCTAAAGAGAGAGTTGGAATGTACTTTTCTTTGCACTAACTTTACAGACATTCTAAATATTGACAATATTTTATGCAGAATATTCCTCTTATACTCTTTGGCTGTAATAAAGACTGGGAAAAAATAAAAATAAATTTCATTGAAATTTTAGGTCCAAAAATAATTTACTTACAGCCATATAAGCAGCACAACCAGCAGATCTCGTCTTTGCTTTTGAATCAACTAGTCTGCCACTAATTCCAAAATCACACAACTTAACAGTTCCATTTTCGTCTAAAAGAATATTAGATGGCTTTACATCTCTGTGTATGACTCCATGCTTTTCTTTCAGATAGTGTAAGGCCTTGACAATCTATACATTTATATTTATATATACATAAATATACTAAATAAACATGAAGATGTAAATCTCTTTAATATCAAGAGCAATAAGTATAAAATCAATGTAACTATGATTGATGACAATCTTTACACACACACATATACTGAAAAAAATATGCATAAATACCAACATTGTTTTATTACATATAAACACATGCTACCTCCACTTTCATTGTTTGTACAATTTTACAGAATTTTTAGTAATGCATTTTTAAGCATTTTGTCTCCACCACCCTCAAAAAAATCAAACAAATTTATTACAGATTTGAACAACTATGACTTCAAATGCAGAAAACACACGTTATTTATTATTTTTTTATGATTAAAATAGTTCAAATAATTAATACAGATGTAGAGACATTACGTATTTTTTGGAAGCAAGAAAGAAGAAAAATTAGCAACGCCTTCACCAGGAATCGAACCGCAGACCTCTCAATTACACGTTGAGCGTGCAGACCACTAAATCACAAAGGCTCACTAAGAAGGTGGGAGAAATACCTTCTATACTCCCTCCTTTTTAAAGGGTGGCTGGGCTTTTTTTTTTTAGGGGACCAATTGCCAAATTTTGGGTGAGGAAAATCATCATCCAACACCCTTTTAGTTCAGGCATCACTGTAGAGCTATAATGATTTTTTGAGAAGCAGAAAATATGAGCAGGGACAGGGAAAAGTGGACGGAGCACCAGAACTTCGTCAGTGACTTTTACAGGTGTTGCTCCGCCGCACTACTGACCCCGGGGCTTTTAGTTGGCCCGCATCGATGCAGACTCCAAGAAGACATTTAATAGTAATTTTACATAATATAGACTTAGATGATATACAATTACAAGCATGTATACAATATTGCAAAAATAACTATACAAAGTGGATTATGGAGATTGAAATACATACAACTTCATTGACATTGTACTTCAACAACACTATATTACATAGTATATAGTACATCGAATTAAATAAAATCATTTTTAGAGCTAATTGAAGTTTTTTTTTTTTTTTCGCATTTATTTCTACTTAGTTGAAATACTAGGCGAATATCTATAATACATTTCCTTTCATTTTTTTAACTTGTACACACAATGCAAGCACTGAAGTCTTATTATTTATTTTGTATTAATGTATCATAATACAGAAAATATACATTAGAAAATCACATAATACTACATTTACACTAATATATTATAGAGTCGTATCTTATTTATTTTTTAATTAATGATTTAATTATTACACAATACAGTCCAAATTCTTAATGTAGCGATTTTATAAAACTATTATACCCTATTTAGCTGTTCAGATTCTGAAATCTTGCATTATTTTGCAGTTGTAGAATAGAGGTATTTATACAGATGGATAGCATCTTGACATAGTCTCTTTTAATGAAAAAGTTTTTCATAATCAAGGAAACCTTTTGTTGTAATTGAGGTATCGTTAGCCTGCATTTAATGTACTCAGGCGTAATTTGTGACCTTCCTTTGCAGTGTAGCTTTTTTGTGAGCTGGCACTTGAAAATATAGTGTTCTGGGTCTCGAGCAATGCCTTCACCAGGAATTGAACCACGGACCTCTGAATTGCGTGCTGAGCGCGCAGACCACTACACCACGGAGGCTCGCTAAGAAGGCAGAAGAAATACCTTGTACAGATTTGCAAAAAATTCTTAGATATACATTAAAAAAGGGGGGATTTATTTTGTATCATAGTCTTTTACATAAAGTATCAAATACTATTTGAATGTGATTATTATACAAAAAATTAATACAGAAGTCATTTTTAAAAATTTATTACATGGACAAAGATTGTTCCTGTAATGATGCCACTAAAAAATTTTAATTTAATGCCAGAAATATCAAGTACAACCAGACATTACCTCAACAGAAATTGAATGAACCCAAATTTGTATCAGAAAACTTCATGTTAAAATATACCAGTTTCTTCTAATTATAGCAACATATGCGGCTTGTGGTATATGTTTAATTACACATCAGTTATAAAGTTAGTATGGATATCAAGAAGTAATATGTCTAAAGCTGTGACAATATTCATGATAAAATATTGCATGTGAAACACAGTAGTGAAACGTCATTTTCAAAGATAAAACATGAAAAAGAATTATGTAAGAAAAATATTTACAGCAATGATGTTATTGGAAAATTTTTGTATTATTTTCTTTCTGTTTCTGTAATAGATGAATGGAAAATGAAGACTGAAATGATATCAGGAATGTAAAATACTACATGCTGATCAGCAGAAAAATAAAATCTGATTAATTAATCTTCACACTATTCTTTACACAAGACCATACTCAGGTGTACAGAAGACTGAGATGATCAAAATCTAGTCTTTTTCCTAAAGCTTCTTCAAGTTACCATTATACTGTGGGGAATTAAACTGTAGTTAACAGATTCTATTATTACCTTGAAAAGAAGGATAACTAGCTGTAACTATGTTACCCTTTTGGATCATAGCTCAAATGTTCCTGCAGATTACATCTTTCAAAAACATAATGCTCACATTCTTAGAGATGGAAATATATTAACTAGGGCTGAGGAACATGAGGATATGTTGTACACTCACCTGACCCCATAGAATATCATATGAAATCACAATCATGGAATCATTGTACAGTGTTGGATAACAAAGCGAGATCTTGTTATGTTCTTCCATCTCTTACAGAATTTTAAAATATCTTACGTAATGAATAATGTTAACATACCACTAACCACTATCCAAGATTTGCATGTGTCCATTTTAAAGATGATTTAATGGTCAAATGTGGTCCTACACTACATAACACTTTCTTTTTTAAGATGCTTCCATTTTGTTTTTCTAAAACATTTATGTATTTATTAATTTCCATTTAATCTTCACATGTAACTGCCATAAAATTTTTAGGATTAGTTGCTGAATTACCTGTTAGCAAATAATAAAGATACTTAGCACACAGTATTTAAAACACATTCTGTATGCATAATTACACTGATTTCAATAAAAAAACACTCTTCAAAGTACTTACAAAAATCCTTCTCTGGAACAGCACACAGAAATTCAGCGAAGACCATTTAACATCATGAAATCAGGGACAAGGGAAAGCAGAGAATGCATTCCTCTATTAAAATGTTTTGTCATTCATTCAGTTCATTAAACAGCAAGTACTGTAGTAAAGATCCTTTCCTTATTTCAATATAATGAATATTGAATCTTGTAGGAAGAATAAAGCTAATTTTCAGAATAAACAAATACTTTTATTTAAATTTAAAACAGAACCAAAAAAATAAATTGCAGCTCTAAACTCTCAAATTTTAAACTCTTAACACTGCAGTTAAAAACTTCAACTATTAAAAAAACTCCCAATCTTAAACTCTTAAAACAAAATATATATAAAAATCTTTCGAATCCTCTTCTTGTGCCACACCGTAATGCAAGTTTGTTCCTATTATTAATTTCACGTTCTCTTTAAGTCACGATCTTCACAAGTCATGATCTTTACAAGTCACGATCTTTACAAGTCTCCCCACAAGAAGCACATTCGTCACCGTAGAGACATGTTGCTCAGAGTTCTTGAGAGAGAAAGAGTTAACAGCACCTTGAAAAGAATCAGCCTTCCCATGTAAATTCCTTTGCGGTAGTCACATTCAGTTATACGGTGTACGCTAAGGCCAACGAGACAGTTTAGCACCATGAGGGGCGCTTTGGGTCAAGTAGGTGAGGGGATTGTGATCAGACACAATCTGCACTTTGGCCACCGAAAATCCCAAGAAACTTGCTTAATGATTTCACCACAGATATTCGGAAAAGTAATATGCCATCATCGAAAGTATATGAATTTTGATTTTATTTGCCCATTCAAAGCATTTTTTGAGTTTCGTCTTGTTCTTGATGTGTTGATTCTATTCTTACCCTGTTCGTTGTTTTCAGAGACTCTATGTTTTTTGGGAAATCTGATGAACAACAGCCAAATTGTAGTATTGTCTTCAACTGGTGAGGTTATCATCTGTCTCTTTGTACTTAAGGGGGATGCTCCCAATGACGATCACAGTTCCACGTTCGATATTTCCAAGAGTTTCATAAGCTGAAGAACTCATAGCAAGTCGGTAATAGCTTTTTTGAAACAGCACACGTAATGGACACTCTACCGTGAAAATCATCGTCAATTTTCATCTTAAATCTTAGTGGAGTAATTTCGTTTTCACCAAAGCAGAAGATATCTCTATTTTACTTTCTCCTTCGCAAGGATGTTCAACCAAATTTCTCACGGACTACTGAAATTTGTGCTCCCGTGTCTACATTCCATTTAGAATAATATCTCCACATTAACTTTGACCAGTTTTAATTCATCTAGTTTTCTAGATACGTCCACTGATTTTTGAGACAGAATAGAGATCTGGCAGTTAGCACTTCTGGTTTTTCTTTTTCTGCTAGGGGTGCTTGGTTGTGTTTGTATTAAGTTGTTTTTGTGCTGTTGCAGAAGCCTTCTTGGTATCCGATTTTTGGTACATAACTTATGTATGACCTTCTTTCCACAATTATAGCAAGTTAATTGAAATTTCTTTTGTGGTTCGTCACTCTTACGGGATGGGTACACTCTTGCGTGTTTCAGCGTACAGCGATTTATTTCTGAAAGCTCTTCTGGAAGTGGAGAACGGGTTGCCATTTTTTTAGTCTGTCTGCTGATGGATACCACATTCTGTTTTGAGATATTATGACACTGTCATTATTCGTCAAGTTTATCAGCTAATTTGGTTTGGAGAAACGAATTTCGCCCAGTCGCCAAGAAGATGGTCTTCTCATAGGGTACTCTTTTCTTAATTTGGCAGTAAAATCAAGTTTTAACGCGCAAAATTTGTGATTCAAGACCATTGCCTTCTTCAATAACTTGTAATTTCGTAGCAAAAACCTTCCTGATTTTTCCGCTTTTTGGTGCATCACAAATTTTTTTCTAAAGCTTTCGGATTTAATTTAATCTCTCAATAAAATGGCT